ATGATACATGATACATGATGATACATGATGATGATACATCATGGTGATACATGATGATGATGATGATGATACATAACAATACATAAAATTTGTGAATAACAGTTTCTGTTTTTATCTTAGAATCTGAAAAAAGACAAAGACTCGGAGAAACTGGATCATGTCTGTGTACAGATTGAACTTCTCAAACCAAAGGATCAATTTGTAAGTGTTTTGAGCGCGCGAATATAAAAAATAACCGAAAAAAGTCACTAAATATGAAAAATTCTCGCTCACAACGACAACTTCAACTCAACTCGATCACAACTAAAACTCAATCATAACTTGTTACATGGCTTGTGTTTCTTATTTCAATCCCCAGGGACTCGCATCTATTCTGTATGACCGTAATTCTGTCAAGTGTCATTTGGTGAGTCACTTCAAAGGCTAGTCAGAGAATACAATTCAAAACTTAAGATCTAGAAACTCAGATAATGATAAGAATCGCGAACTTGATATATTAATGATTTGGTTGTGTTAACAGGTCAGTAATGGAGCAGAATGTATTCTTATCAAGAAGAGCTGGTTTCTACAAAACACAAATGAAGATATGCGAAGAGACTTAAGGGCACAGGTAACCCATCACGTACAGAATTAACGACAGTGCGCGTTGTATTTAGTTCCCGCCTCAAGTCCCTCGCACTGTCGAAGACCAGGAGAGAACCAACAAGCAACTCTATACTCACATATGATGGAGAGTCCTAGAGATTGAACCCATGATTTAAGCAGTGAAATGCTGCGCACGCAACGCGTACCACGCATCCATTCAAATCTAATCTTAAGTGCTGTTGTATTCCACAGTTTCCTGCCTATCCAACACAGCAGACATTAGAACAAAACCTACAAGACAAAGCCGACTGGGAATCGTTCAAAAACCAAACAATTAGTGATCTTCTCGACACTTTACATCTATGAGTTTGTTCACTGAATGAAAGCCTTTGGACGTGTTTATGGATGGTGAATATTGAGTGGGTTAAAGACGGCAGTACCGCTGCTGCAATGCACATAATTGCAATGGCATTTGAAGAAACAAAAATTCAGTTAAACTTTGTGGGAGATAAACACCCTCCCCCTTCAATCCCCTCCCCCTTCAATCCCCTCCCCCTTCAATTCCCCTCCCCCCCCCTCCCAACCCCCCTTAGGCGGCCGTCGAGTCAAGCCCCTGTAACTCGCCGCCAGCCTCAACCAGTACCAAACAGCCTAGATTTCAACATTTTTAAAATAACCAGGGGGGAGTAGGCTAAGGCAGGGATGTAAACAGATCACACTTCCTGTAATAATATATAATATCGATGATGAAGCGTTAGACATCCTTGCCGATATCAGCTGGTCTGATATTCGTATTCGTTTCGTATTTTCCTTATTCATGTAAAATATATATAATATACATATTATTAATAACAAATGCTTACATACCACGAATTTACAAGTATTATAATTCTGTTCATCAACGAGACGCACGCTCTCACAGGCAGCCCAAACAAGGTTCCTGTGTATGGTTTATAAGGGAAYGTATGGGAGTTATGATAAAGTTACGAAAATAAAATGTTTCACTCAACAATTTGCCTCAAAACTTGCTTGCTGCTTCAGCGCGATTTGAGGCCGTTTAGTGGCTTTTTTCAAAAACAAATTTTGAGGCAAATTGTTGAGTGAAACATTTTATTTTCGTAACTTTATCGTAACTCCTATACATTCCCTTATAAACCATACACAGGAACCTTCTTTGGGCTGCCTGTGACGCTCTAAGCAACCAAAAGACCCCAAACTGATGGGTATCTTTTATATGCCCATCAGTTGGGGGTCTCTATACTTCCTGCTTGAATAAGTGATACTCCGATGTCAGATTTTGTAAATGCTTATGGTAACGCAATGTTAAAAGAATAGGTTTCATAACCATTCCCCTCTATTAACTATGCCACAATATAATCAGGTTATGACGTCACACCTTAGCAACTGGTACCCCTGCTATTCGCAAAGTTTGTTAGGCTGTAGTTCGTTATGATAGGCTAGACTTAGTAAGTTAGCAAAATGTTGAAAATCAACATTCAAGATGTTGAATTAATTATTTGCAGTCGAAGTCTAGGAATCCAAAATCCAGACGTGGACTTCCTAATCCACCATGGCTTCTGGTGTTCTTAGAAGGCACGACAAAAGGATTGACTAACTTCAGTTGTAAGTACATGGAATAGTCTTCGCCCATGTCCGTCCAGATCGTATTATTCKTTATTCAAATCAACCCATTTCTTCGGCTCATTAGTAATATCCATAATATAGTGCGTAACAATTTTATATCGTCCTATAGTTTTTCCATCCTTATCTTGTCTCCGTCTCCATTTTACATCCTCTGCTATAACCACTACTCGATAATTACCTTTCTGCAATTCGAACCTGGCCAGACTTTTAGCGCTGTTTTCTTGTAACTCCGTTCGTTTTCCTTGTAAAATAGCATCTTCGATAAGTGAAGTGGTGCTCGACTTTCCATCGTTGTCACTGCTTCCTTTTCTGCTCGCCCGAACCTGTTGCGACATTAAATTTTCGATGTACTTATCCTCTCAAAAATACGATAAATACTTCCGATAAAAAAGTAAATCCATTCAAACCGCGATAAACTATAGTTAAAGCGATTGTTTGGTAGTCGTTCTCGTTCAATGTTGACTAAGTTTTTCACGAACTACGTTTTAACTTAAACGAGTAAAAGAAATCTCACTTTGCAAGTTTTTACGTTCATTGAGCACGATTTTTCGACGACGTTTACAAGAAAATTCGTTCATCAATGAATTATAATAGTAGTTTGCCTGAAGTAAACGTTCAAGCAGGTGTCTAAGTTGCATAATGTATTCATATCCGAGTTAGCTTTTTATTTTATTTCAAAAACTGACAGGAAAAAGATGGTCATTCGTCTCTATGGTTACAGGGACCATTCAAACGGGGATTTGCGGCAAGAAGCCAGTTCAAGACTTTCGGCTAAGTCGAACGCTCCCTTTAATTAATTAGCGTGGAAAATCTGCTATTTGTTTGAGAACGTTACCAGTGTTATTATTGCATGAATCAAGACTACATAAGAGCGCTTTTTCGAGGTAAGATTTCAAGTCTAAAACAGTGAATATGTTAATCGGCGTTCAGTGATTGTTTATGAACACCAACCTACAGGGGGAAAATACAAAAATATATTGTTCTGATCGAGTAAGAGAATTCAAAATGATGTTTTTTAAAACATCGACACAAAAAAAAAAAGCATATGAGGTCGAATTCATAGACTAAAGAATGCCAGAGATTTCACAGCAGGCTTCCTGAAGATGTTAGTATTTTGACTAGCGGATCACAATCTACCGAAAAATTACCGTTTGTCATAACAATAGGTCTCCCGTAGACAGGTTTTTTTCACTTTTCAGTAGGACTGTTCGCAGAAAAATGTTTGCAAAGCATATAAATATTTGTTCAAATAAGAGTAAAATGTGGATTTTTAGATATAAGGAAAAATAACGAAGGATATCTTGGTAAAACTGAACCCTGTTCTGGCAAAGCATTCGTTTTTTTCCATGAAAGCGTAATGCTATAGCGGAAGTAAAAAACTTCCATTAATCAAAAGCACGCGACGGAAAAATATATTCTAGAAGCGAAAATGGTCATGGACTTTATTAGTTTCTGTTGTCAGTTAGAAAGGGGGGGATTTTATAGAATGGAAATAAGGTTTTTCTGGATTCTCCGGTTTTTCAGTTTTTCCGCAAAAATCAACTTCTAAATTCCATATTAGAATCAAGTCAGAAAAGCCACTCTGTGGAATCCATTTATCAGGAGCTCAAATCATGGTTATCAGGAGTTAATTGTACTGCCGGCTTTACTTACAGTAAATAATATATCGTAGCAAGTAATAACTTGTTTATCGTTTTATTACACTTTCATAGAAGCGTTCAATTCTGTATACAATTTATTAATTGACGTTTATTTTGCTAATATATAGTTCGCGAAGAAAAACTTCTAAACAAGAAAATAGATGAATTCAGAATGTTAAAACTCATAGATACAGTGATTTAGTGTTCCAGTCATGGCCAATATACTAAGTATTGAAACCATTTGAATTCTCTCAGCATGGCAATTGTCCCAACTATCATATTTGGCAAAAGTTCTCAATTACGTATTTTTTCGCTGAACGTTGGTGACTTGCCATTAGCTTAATCAATGTTGGTGTGATTTGATTGCAAGGCTATAGGATCTTTTAGTGGGTTCTACGTTCTTTTTACCTCCGTCAAAATTAACATGCGAGCTAAAAGTCTTACACATTGGTCTTAAATGTAGTGGTGTAAGTAAGGCGTAAGTAGTATCCATATTGACTGGATTTCTTTCTCCATTATCTTAGGGAAACAATTTCAGTGTTTGCACTACATGGTTCCATTATCCTGACATAGAAAACAATATCTTTTATTTTTGAACTCTTTTGTGTCAAAATTAATGAATAAATAGAACTAAACAGAGTAGGGTTAAGTTTTAATTTCCTTGTCAAGGATATTAGATATGCAGAACAACGCTTCGGGGAAAGATAAAAGGCGTTGAATAGATGGTGGAACTGACGTTGATAATAAAGTACTTGTCTTTTAACAAAACTAAGGAAATGTACGGTAAGTCTTTTTTGACAATTCTCCCAGATAAATATGATTTATTTATCAAGATTATTTATGATAATGGAGTTTATCTTTTCCATACTGACCCATTTTTGATGAGCTTCTTGTTCAGCTTAGTAAATGTAACGTTCGAAAATATTCGTAAAAGCAGTTCAGTGTTAAAAACGGCCATTTATTTGCAAAGAATCCTAAATAGCGTTAATTTCGCTACGATATATGCTTTATAACTGATATAACCCAAAATTTATAAGTATATCAAAAAACAAAACAAAAAATCCAAAGCTCTCGGTTTATGGCCAAATATCCGAGCTGAGGTCTCGGCACTGCATTTCCAGGAATTACAAAAATACTTTGATGAGAAATGAAACTGCAACAGAGCTTCGCACTTTCGTATTTTTGGTAGCTCTTCATCTGATTTTTTTTTTTTTTTTTTTTTTT